TCCAGGAATATCTGTGGAACCTCAGACAGTTTTCTGTACTGGTTAGACTAATTTATATTCCCACCAATGCTGTGTTGTACAAGTATTCCAGTTTTCCCACATCCTTGTCCATATCTGTTGTGTAACTTTTCCTGGAGAAACCATTTATTTACCCCAGCTAGAGAGAACAATGTCAGACCAAGGAGACCATTGCATCCAAGTCCAGATGGGAGGACCAATGATTTTATGGGGACTGTGTCACTTACAGGAGCATGGGTAGAGTGCAGCACTGAAAAGCCCACCCTAATATGGGTGATGGCTTGTGAGCCCCGTGTTGTGGAGTCTTCTAAGTACCCGCAGGCATTACAGAAAAGCCTCCTGACCCCATCACTGCAAAGAGTACCCCGAGAGTCTCTTGGGGTTCATGAACTTTCTGAGCCTCCACTCTCCCTTCACAAGGAAATGTTTTAGTCCTGAGGAAACAGCTTCTCAGTGGTGCCTGTTAGCTTCTGGTTTGTTTGCTTGCTTTGGTCCTGTGGATCTTCCAAGGGCCTCGTAGGTCCTGTGGATCTTCCAAGGGCCTCGTACATGGTGGCCAAATGCTCTGCCCATGAACTGTATCTCAATGTTTGCATTTTTTAAAAAAATTTAGCTCGATTCAAACAGAAGCCTAATGACTAGCAATTCTAAAATAGAGAACTGAACAGATGCAAGGTATAATGAACATATTCCAGGTCAGCAGTGAACTCGTGCAATTTAAAGAGGCTTAAGCCAGAGAAGCAAATGATGCTTCAATAATACTAAATCTATGTGGGTCTGCATCCAGAAAGGGTTGTATGTGTGGAAGATGTTGTCCCAGAAACATCTTTTAATTAACAATTAATAATTGTTAATTGTTTTTTTTTTTCAGATGATAACCTCAAGGCTCAGAGAGGTTCAATAGTTACAGTCACAGACAGCCAAAGTTACAGTCAGTAAGAGAGCCAAAGTTCAGGCTGAAAGTCTCAACTCCATTCTAAGGCACTTGCTTGCTTCCCTCTTCAACACAGACAACTGAGGGTGGCTCTGCGCTATGGATTAGATATGTTGTATTTTTGTTTCTGTGACAAAAGCTTTGACAAGAACCTAATGAAGGGAGGAAAGATTTATTTTGACTGACAGTTCCCAAGAATATAGTCCTGCACAGTCAGGAAAGCATGACAACAGGGACAGGACACAGCTACAGCCAGGAAGCAGAGGGATGGATGCTAGCTCCATTTCTCTATGTTTGTCTATGACTCCAGCCCATGGAATGGCATAGTTAGGGTGGGTCTTCCCACCTCAGTTAGCCAGGATAGATACTGCCTCACTGACACGCTGGGAGGCTTGTCTTCTTGGTGATTCTACATCCTGTCAAGTAGGCAATCAGTTACTGACCAGCAGGATCTTCAACAGGCTAGCTACTCACTGTGGCCTCACAACCTTGGGTGCCAGGAAATGAACTGTAGTTTCTGCCATTGTGGAATGTTTTCAGCGTGTTTACCACTTGACTAGCATTGTGTTAGCAATGCTTTTCATTCTTACAGTCCAACCTTCTGTCATTTGAAAATAGTTTTGTTTGTTTTTCAAGACAGGGTTTCTCTGTGTAGCCTTGGGTGTCCTGGACTCACTTTTGTAGACCAGGCTGGCCTTGAACTCACAGAGATCCACCTGCCTCTGCCTCCCAAATGGCTGGGATTACAGGCATGAGCCAATGTGCCAGGTTTATCTGTAAACATTTAAGTGCTGATGACTAAGTGACTTAGGTACTGAGAACAAACTGTCTAGTTGGGAACTTCATAGTCTCTTTGATACGAGTTTAAGTGTCCACTTATTATCTGATTATATTGTTACAATATCGTATGATTGAAACAGCAAAAATATGCTTTCAGATTCATTATTACTTAACCCTTGAACTTTTGTAATGTGTTTCCTTTTTCTTAAGGTAAATTTCCAAAATGAGAGTAATCAGGTAGGTCAAGGCTCAGTATGACACAGAGATAAGATTATTTCAAAGGACCTTACCCTGTTTTTAAGGAGCTATTTTGGTCTTTCAACTAAATGATTTTTTTTTTCCCTGCTGAAAGACAGTTGGCTTAGCTGATGCAGAAAATTAGCTGTAAAGTACAAATACAGAAGCTGGAGAGACGACTTGGTGGTCACGAGCATGCACCTCTCCTTCAGAGACCCGAAGGCCACGTCCCAGCCCCCACATCAGGCAGCTCACAACTGCCTGTGACTCCAGTTCTGGAGCATCTGACACTGTCTTCCGGCCTTCTCGAGCACCACATTCAAGTGCACAAACCCATACTCACATACACAGATGCACATAATAATTAAAAACAGCTATACTATCTTAAAAACATACATGTATAAAATTGTGATGTAACACAACTTATGTAGCCTTTATATAATCAGCAGTAAAAGAACAAAAACTCAGGGCTGGAGGGGTGGCTCCGTGTTTAAGAGCAGCAGCTGCTCTTGCAGAAGACACGAGTTTGATTCCCGGAGCCCATGTGGTATCTCACAACTCTCTGTAACTCTGTGATGTGGCTCAGGCTGGCCTGGAACTCAGTCCTCCTGCTTTAGCCTTAGGAATGTGGGAATGCAGGCACACACCACCACTTCACTGACATGCTCTGCTTTGTTGATTCGTGTTTGTTGTTGCTTTCCCTTTAATGTTTGGAGATTAAATATTCCAGAGTCCTTTTCCCACTTCAGCCTTCTGAGAGCTGGGACATGCACACTGTACCCAACTTGAGACTCTGCTTTGATGGCTACTTCAACCAGTTTTTACTTCTTGTGCCCAGAACGGGTAAGAAGGGATGGTCAGAAGCAGGCTAGGCTGAACAAAGCTATCGAGACTTCAGAACTTTGCTCCAGGACATGCCACAGGAAAAGCAACACGCATCATCATCATGGAAAAATGACATCAAAGCACGTGAGAGGCAATATACATTATTTTTCAAACAAAGGTGATAATGGTAAAAGGCTCCAAGTTTTGCTTCACTGATAACAGGTAATAAAGTCGTATCTGTGTGCAATTGTTGAGTCAGGTGTGGGTGGAAAATGAGGGCCACGTAGGGAGGGACTCACCCATTCCTGGCCACAGTAACACATCAACCCGAGTCACTGAACTGGGATCTGGGGAGAAGTATGCAAAACAAAGACCTTATCTTCACCTTGAGAGAGCTATTGTTTTTCCGGGAAAATAATTTAAAGGGATAAGTAGAAGACAGGGAGGTCTCCTGGGAGCAGCAGTCAACTCCTATGTGACAAGTCAGAGGAGGTTCCTGGAGGAAGAACTCTTGAAAGCAGAGATCTGACATATCATAAAGATCAGAAGGTAGAAAAGAATGTTCCTGAGGACTGAAGCAGTGACGGCCTTGAATTCAGAGAACAGCCTGCTTTGCCTTTTGAGGGATGGATTTTAAAGACAAGCATAACCACAGCTGGCTCAAGCACTGTTATAAGTATTTGTAAAATTACTTCTTAAACTTTATGTGTATAGGTGTTTTGCCTGCACCATGTATGTTCTTGGTGTCTTTGGAGGCCAGAAAAGGACACTAGATCGTATGGAACTGGGCTTACAAAAGTTGCTAGCTGCCAAGTGGGTACTGGGAACTGAACCCAGGTCCTCAGGAAGAGCAGTCTATGTTCTTAACTGCTAACCCATCTCTCAACAGTATTCTTAAAGACATTCCTTTGTGTGGGGTCTCATCCAAAGGTAGGCATCTAGAGGAGGCTGTGAATATACAGGACTCCTGATTCAAGCTTGCTTTCTCAGCAGTTCTGCTCAACCCCAGTCAGTGGAGAAATACAATCTCCTCTGTTTAAACCTAGAAAGGCAGCACCCTGGAACTTGGGCTTTTCCTGTTTCTCCTTCTTCCAATCACATCCCTCTGTAAGCAGACCCGCGCTGCTCTAGGACTCTCATATAGCTCTAGGCTGAGGGTGTTCTGATTGTGTCATTTTTGAGAGGGAATGGAAGTGTTGGGGATTAAATATAGGATCTCACCTACCCAGGCACATCCGCAGCTCCTCAAACTGTCTTTCAATAGTTCCTTTTTGAACTTTTTGTTTGGTCCTGAAATTCTAACCCGAACAGAATCCATACAACAATATTAAAATGTTTTCTTTTATCCTGTCTGAGATCATTTTGTTGACCCCAAACTGAGGATCGTCTTGCCTCACTCAACCTCCTCCACAGGCCTGGGGTTCAGAGTGTACTTCCGAGGCCAGTTTCCGTCTTTCTTATGTTCTTTTTAAGAAACTTTTCATGTTAACAGTTTGTAGTTCCTCTGGTGCTGTCCGAGCTAACTTACAGCAATTCGCTATGGCCCAGATGGCCCAGCGGCACAGTGCAGGCACATGCCCTCACTTAAGATGGCCGCACCTGCCTTGCCTTGCCCTTTCCTGGCCCCAGCAAAGACGGGTTCAACAACTTCCTTTTCAAACTCCCTTTTTCCATAACAAAGATGGAGCCGGCGCTTCCGGTTCCGGGCTCTTGCGGCCGTACGGTGAGTGCCACGGGGCCCTGCGGAATCCCTGCCGGTTTTCTCCTGGGTTCTGGAGTGCCTTGGGAAGGGAGCCGGGGAGCGGGGCGGGAAGCGGGGAAGGAGGGGGGAGAAGCGGCTCTCGCGACAGTTCGTGCCACGAGGTTTCTGCCCTCCGCCGCAAGCCCCGCCCACTGCGCGCTCCCTACCTGCTTAGGGACTGTGCTAGTCCTGGTCGCGGTTCGTTCCGGTCGGTTTTTTATTTTAATGTTTTAAGGGTGTTTTTGGTAGGTTTTGTTTTGCTGAGACAGGGTCTCTCTACATAACCCTGGCTGTCCAGGAACTCACTATGTAGATCAGGCTGGACTCCAGTTGGCAGGTCTTGCCTCTGCTGGAATTAAAGGCCTGGGCCCCTACGCCCAGGACTCTTGTAATTTTAAGCAGCTGTAATAATTAGTGACTTGATGTTAACATAAAATCTGAAGTGTAAACTACAGTCTGTTTGTACGTTAGCGGAATTGTGCCTCTATTATCACAACGCTGGAATGCTTTCCCCCAGTCCAGTCCTGGGCTATGACCAGAGTACTGTCTGTCTCTGCAGTTGTCTAATTTGCATGCCATATAAACGGAATAAAAGAAGTGTGTGACTAGCTTCTTTGGCCAGGGATTTGCAAAACTTGTTTTGGGGACTTGAGAGAATTGCATTCCTTTAATAACATAATGCTTCACAATGCATGTTTTTATTTTTCTGTTGAAAGGACCTTCCTAACTATTTTCCAAACTATTCCACCGAATGCCTATCAGCGTGGTTTACTTTGGGGTTCGTTATTCTCTTTCACTTTTATGTGTCTGTCTTTATGTTAGTACTATTGTCTTCATTACCATAGAGGCTTTTTGTTGTTTGTTTGTTTGTTTATGAGACAGTGTCTTGCTACAAAGTCCAGAGTGACCCCAAATTCAAGGTCCTCCTGCTTATGTGTCCCCAAACACTGGGATCAAAAGACAGTGCTACCACATCTGGCTTGCACCAATTTGTTTTGCTTTCGTAGGTTAGTTTGGGTATTAGTAGCACCGTATTTTATTTTATGACAGGGTCTCACTATGTAGCCCTGGCTGGCCAGGACCTCGCTGTGTAGATCAGCTGGCTTCAGACTTGAGAGATAGGCCGCCTTTGCTGGGACTAAAGGTGTGTGGCAGCACCCCTGTGAATCTTAAGATACTAGCATCAGATGCATGGACACGGGATGTCTTCCTTTCCTTTAGTGCACGTCTTCTGTGCACTAAATACAGTCTTGTTTTACTTCTGTGTTTTTGTAAGTGGAAATGGATTCTTAATTCCCTTTTGAGGTTTTTGATCATAAAAGTATATGAATATAAGTGATGTGTGTGTGTGTGTGCTGGTTTTGAATCTTGCAATCTTGCCTAGGTTATTTATTTTCTTAATTTATCTTGTGGCTTTCTTAAGGTTTTCTATGTAAGATCATGTCTTCTGAGTTTGTCTAATTTTGCCCCAAGGACTGAACCCAGAGCCTGGTACATGCTAGGCAAACACTTTACCACCAAGCTGCATCCCTGCCCTGGTGTCCTGTTCATAGGGATAATTTCACAGCCTTCTTTCCAATCTGAACACCTTTCATTTAATTTTCCTGTCTAAACCTTGCTGTATAAACCTTCCAGCACAGCACTGACTGCAGAGTGACAAATGCTTCTGATTTCAGGACGAAAGCATTTAGCTGGCCTTGCTGAGCATCCTTACTATGGGTTTTCAAAACCAGTCTTTATAAGGTTGACGAAGACTATTCCTAGCTTGTTGAGTCATCAAGAAGCTGTATTGTCAGACATTTGTGTGTGTCTGTTGTGGGTTTGTCTTACATTCTGTTGTTAATGTGCTGGGCTATAGAGATGGATTGCACAGGTTAACAGGGCTGAGGATGTAGCTCAGCTAGTAGAGCCTATCATCAGCAAAGCCCTGGATCTGCTCCCCACTGCCACAAAACCCAGGCACACACCTGTAACCCCAACATGTGGGAGGTGGAAAGAGTCAAGTTCAGTGTCATCCTTAGCTGCACAGCACTTTCAAAGTCAGCCCAAAGTTCGTGAAACTGTCTAAAACAAAGGAACCAAAAGAACGAGTGAAATGATTTTGAAATGAAACAACATTGAATTCTCAGGCTAATTCCATCTAGTCCTGACAATAGTCATTCCTTTCTATTTTTGGTGTGTGTGTGTGTGTGTGTGTGTGTGTGTGTGTGTGTGTGTGTGTAACTGTGGGAGGGTGCACAGGCCCTCTGAGGGTAAACCAAGCTGCACCTCCAGTCTTTGGAGCCATCTCCTTTGTGTGCACTGCCAGACGTTCTGCAGAGCATTCCTGTACGTGTGTTTGTGATACAGGACTGTGGTTCTCTTATGCTGTGATTGTGAACATTGTTCTTGTACTGTCTTTCCCCTTGTCTGTCTTTCTTTTTCTTTCTTTGTTTCCTTGTTTCTTTCTTTCTCTTTCTTTCTTTCTTTCTTTCTTTCTTTCTTTCTTTCTTTCTTTCT